GGATGTGAAGCTGAAGGACAACGAAAGCTGCCTAATATCACAGCTACAGAATATTAAAGAGAGAGCTGAGCTTACTGCCCAGGCAAAGCCTGAGTTGGTGATTCTTTGTGGTGATTCTTTGTTGGTGATTCTTCGCCTCTAGGTCTCATCCTCTGCAGGCAGGTCTAAGTGTTGTCTTTATCAATTCGTTTACATCAGGCTACAGGATAATTCTCACGCTAACCAAAATCACACGTTTGCTGTCTAGATCAAGACTTACTTGGGAATCTGTGTACCTGAGAATTTGAATTAGTTATTGACAAACTGCCTTGTGACACTGGAAAAAGAACAAAGAGAACCAGATGGTCCTATGTGAGCACTTTGTGCAAGTTATGGAAAAGCTTGAGACATCTCTATGGTCTGATGAAATGGAAACTCCCTGAAAAGGTTTTTGTCTGATAAGTTCTTTTTTTTTAATGTTTTATTTTTCACCCTCACCTGAGAATATGAGAGAGAGAAATATCAATTGGTTGCCTCCCATACACACCCCAATTGGGGATCAAGCCCCAAACTCAGGGTATGTGCCCTGATGGGAATCGAACCAGTGACCTTTCAGGGCATAGGACAATATCCAACCAACCACACTGGCCAGGGCTGATTAATTCTTATTATCTACCTTATTTCACTGATTGTAAGATTCACTTTTTAACATTATTGAATGAAATCTTAGATTGCATGAAATATGGTAATTGCCCTTCTATTATTGTCAGGGCTGTACTTTTCCTGAGCCACCTCACCATGCACTGAAATGTATGTGTAACAGATTTCCCAGGTCATATTCCGTGCATGAAGATCCACTCCGGTCACTTGAACAGACCTGGAAAGGTTCCAAATTTCCCTCAGCAGCAGGTTCACAAGTCTTCCCTTGGGTGGACTCACTTCTGCATATAGCTAAGCTGTACCACTTTCTTCCCATTTTTACTATCTCCCTTTTAAAGATCTAAAATTTAATTCCAAAGAGATGAAACCCCCTTTTACAGCATGCAAAGACATTTGGCAGTAAGACCCAAATTCTACTAGCACATCAAGGGTGCTCCTGGCCAAATTCCCTGTTGAGCTTATCTTGATTTTCAGCTTTAGCCAAGTGACAAACACTTGTAGGTGGACTTTTCTTTTTTTTACAAGAATGGATATGTAATCTCATTGCAGCAAAATGTAAGACATTAAAATGATCTAATCTCAGGAGTTTTTCCATAAAGGATTTAGTAATGTGATATTGCCCTGGCTAAGGGCCTTGCTATCTCCTTTTCCAACCCTTTATTTCAGAATGTTGGTTATGGATAAAGTATGACATAAAACAAGTTTACATAACAGAGCCTGCACCACATAATCATAGATTACAGCTGGTGATAAAAGAAAAATAAGCACTTTACATATGACGACTCTAAAAAGAATTTAAATTACAAACCTAAACTGAAACCTCTTGGCTTTTATTAGACTATAGAACTGATAATATCCAACTGGACTATATAAATTACTATGTTTAGAGTCAGCACTTGACTCTTAATCAAATCTTCATGCTATTTAATCTAAGATGTTATCATTTTTAATAATTGGTAGGTGATATTTTCATATAAACACACATTATATATACATGAGTGTGTGTTTCAGAGAAGCATTTGAAATTTTAAAATTGTGCTCTAAGTCCTGTTAATTTACCCAGTAAAAAATATTTTAGCTTCTGAAATATTCAAAATTTTAAAAATAGAAAATTTCCAACAATGTATTCCTTAGTTGAGGTTTAGAAGGGAGGAACATGGTCCTTGAAGGCCTGGTTAGTATTGTCTCCCAGTATGCTGCGTGCTTTTCTCACAGTATAGAGTACTCCTCCCATCCACCCTGAAAGGTTCATTGTCCAGTTTTTACTGGTGAGAAAAGAGAAGCTCAGAGATGTTAGCCCAAAGTTCTAAAGCAGCGGTTTTCAACTGGTGTGCCACCACAATTTTTAAAACATGTAATACCTGACTATTTAGTCAGGGCTCTGACCTGTTTATCCTTAGATTGGCAAATAAAAAAATGGCAACAGCCAGCAATAGCCATCCAGTGTGAATGAATCAAAATTATACCCATTTTTTGTCAGATTGACAAAAAGTATATTTATTTAGTGTGCTGCAGAATTTTAGTAATTAGTTTATATATGCCATGAGATGAAAAAGGTTGAAAATTGCTGTTCTAGAGCAAGTAAGTTTCAAACCAGTTGTGGTTTTTTAAAAATATTAACTCCAAAGCTCATGAGGCTACCACTAAAAACCACCAATTTATTCAACATGTCATACAAGAAGCTTGGATTTACTCTGACAAATGCTTTGGCAATGCCAACCCCACTTTTTATAGTTGACAATATGATCTGAAATGAACAATTTTATAAGGAATATACCTGAGCAATAAATGTAGGTAACTGACAAGAAGAGAAGAATTATGGAGTTAATACTTTCAAAAACAGGTATGCCCTGACTCCCCTCTCCTTCCCCGCCCCCGCCTTCTCTCTCTCTCTCTCTCTCTCTCTCTCTCTCTCTCTCTCTCTCTCTCCCTCCCTCCCTCTCTCCCTGCACTTTCCCCCTCCTCTCCTTCCCTATCGCATGTTTTCCTTGCTTTTCTTTCTTTCTCCTAAGCTCCAAAGGCCCTTCTTTTGCCTCTGTAACTTGTTTTCTGAGCCCACAAACCACACTGGCTCACTGTTTCTACTTCTGTAAATAAACTTTTGCAAAACAACAAACAAAACAATCATCCTTATTACGTGGTCTCCTAGACACTGACATCTGACCTTCTTGATATACTATAGCAAGGTTTCAAACAAAGAGGTTTTGTTCAGTACCTGTTTTTGTGGGATGGTGTAGCTATGCAGTCCATACCAGTCAACAAACACCGCACAGTGCTGACCAATGACTCATGAAATCTACTGTGAGATCTCCCTGCTCAGTTTCAAAATATTCATTTAGCATTGCATTAGTAAAATAGCCAACAGCTTATCACAGTCTTTTCACTATCTTGGCATAATTCTAAACAGATCAGATTTTTAATTTTAGCTTGGAATTTTACTCTTTAAGTTTAAAATTTTATCTGCATTGTGGTATAAAAAAAGCACTTAAGGAAAGACAATGCCTGGCTGGTGTGCTGAGTGGTTGAGCATAGACCTATGAACCAAGAAATCACTGTTCGATTCCTGGTCAGGGCACATGCCTGGGGTTGGGGCTAGATCCCCATTAGGAGGCATGCACGAGGCAGCCAGTCAATGATTCTCTTTCATCATGATGTCTCTCTCTCTCTCTCTCTCTCTCTCTCTCTCTCTCTCTCTCTCTTCCTTTCTCTCTGAAGTCAATAAAAATATACTTTTAAAAAAGAAAATAATGTATTATAGGTATATACATTTCCTTTTTAAAAATATGTTTTTTAAAAATATATTTTTAAATTTATTTCAGAGAGAAAGGGAGAGGGTGAGAGAGAGAGAAACATCAATGATGAGAGAGAATTATTGATTGGCTGCCTCCTACATGCCCTCTACTGGGGATCCAGCCCACAACCCAGGCATCAAACCAGAACTGAACCTGGGACACTTCAGTTCACAAGACAACACTCTATCCACTGAGCCAAACCAGCTAGGGCTTAAATATACTTCCTGATTAAATAATAAAATGTTCTGAAGTAAACTTAGAAGTTAGATTTCAAAAATAAAAAACCTCTGGAGTAGAAGTAACTTCTCCTCTGTTCATCTCTTTAAAGGAAAATAATCTTTCAGAAAAGATTATTTAGGCATTGGTTATGGTTTTTGTTTGCTATTTGTGGCTCTTTCTCTCTGTATGTAAATGTGAGTGGTGATTATTGCTACAATGATTTCCTTTATCTACTTTGGGCTTCTCATATCAAAATAACTTCTTTTTCACATAGTTATTATAAGGAAGAGAATAAAATACTTTGTTTTCCTATAGACAATATACTGAAATGGAAATGTAGTATACTTAGTTCTAAAACCAGGCAATGATATATTGATGATATTAGGATCAATGTCTCCTATTAACTGTCAGTGAGTGACACATAATTTAAAACAAAGATACTAGCTCCCCTGGTGTGGTTCAGTGATTGGGCTCCATCTATGAACCAGGTGGTCACAGTTGGATTCCGGTGGGGACACATGCCTGGGTTGGGGCTCAGTCCCCAGTGGAGCATGCAGGAGTCAGCCAATCAACGATTCTCTCTCATCATTGATGTTTCTATCTCTTCCTCTCCCTTACTCTCTGAAATCAATAAAAATAAATAAAAAATGAAACAAAGCCTGGACAATAGTTTTCCTTTTTAAAATTTTCTCTTATTGTAGAAACAGTAAAAAAATGAATTACACACCACACGGTACTGCTTAAAGCCTAACATCTTAGTTCCAACCTTCATTTTTAGGAATGTAGGCCTATTTAATCTTTGCAAATAAATTTTTTGTCCACAGACACTTACGTCTGTGGTCAAGTGGCAAGTGTAGGCAATTCAGCAGACCTCCTGCTTCCTTCTTGTGCTGGCCTTGCTCTGAGAGCCCAGGGCTCCTTCGGGCTTGCGCATCCTTACTAGATGGGTGCACTGTTTTCCACCCTCCCTGAGGGTGACCTTCAGCCTAGGGCAGAGGCCCGGAAAGCAAGGGCCACGGAACTACAGGTGGAGAAAGACAGCAGGAATCCAACCGCCTCACTCCTAAGTGCGCGGGCCTCGCAGCAGGCAGCGCGCAGGGCCTTGGGGGAAGAGAAGGCACGGAGAGCTGAAGGAGGTGAGATTGCAGAGTCCAGCTCCTGGCGCTGTTTCAGCGCCGGCCGGGCTCCTGGGCGTCCAAGGAAGACAGCGCCTCGTTGGAAAGCCCCGAGTGTGGCCGGCAGTGGAAGCGGCACGGAGGCGACTCCAACGGCCTCCCAGCCGCACCCTCCACGCACCGCCGCGTCGCCAGCCCAACAATTCCCGAGCCCCTCGGTTCCCTAGGAGTCGCCATGGCAACGGACGCAGGTTCTGGACTCCCGGACCCACCGGTGGGAATCTCGCAGGAGGCGCACCACCGAGCGGCAAACTCCCAGGCTCCGATGGAGAACTGGGAGGACCCGTCCGAGAGCGAGAAGTGCTGGAGGAGCCTGGAAAACCTCGAGTTCGCGATTGAACAATGCCAGCTCGTCCCCAGGTGACGGCGCGGGCTGCAGCGCCCGCGCGGCGCCTCCTTCCCTCCGCCGGGTCCCGCCCGCCGCCCCGCGGCCCCTGCTCCGCCAACGCCCCGCCCGCGCTGCACGCCTTCGGGCTGTGTTTTGATTTCTTAAATCTATTACTGTACACCAAGGGCGCGGGCTGTGGAGCCAGACTGCCTGGCTTCAGCCCGGACGACCCCTTACAGGGCCCTTGAGTTGGGCCGATTACTTCTCTGAGCCTCGACCACCCCATGGGAACACCGCCATGATGATGATCAATAGGGCCCGCTTTCTGGTTCCTGGCGAACATGTAATGAGTCCACCTGGTTAACGTGTTTAAAAGAGCACCATATACATAGCACCATCTGTTATTCTTTGATCCTTTTTCTAGTTTTTATCCTTCACACTTCTTTGCCTCCTCTCCTCCAGTTTTGTTTATTTGGATAATGCAGAGCTGATGTTGCTGGGGAAAATATATATTTTTTTAAATCTTTAAAATTGGCAGGTGGCCAGCCATAGGTTAGCCTCTGTGGGAATACTTAAAGTTCTCTAAGACAAGGGCTACATGGTGCCAGATGGCCTAGCCCCTCTCACTAAAGGAGAGAGAGAGAGAGAGAGAGAGAGAGAGAGAGAGAGAGAGAGAGAGAACGCCACAGGTCAGTCTTCCCAGCTCAGCTGTATTAGTGGGTGCGCTTGTTAAGATGAATCAGGCTACACACAGGACCTGGTTTATTGGTGGTTGCGAAAGGCACAAATAGGTGGCAGTGCGTGGTAAGCACCCTGGGCACACAGAGTCTAACCTGTTCCAGCTGTTTACTGACAGGAATGACTTCCTGCCCTGGACTCCCTGGCATTCTGTGGTGGGTAGTTCTCCCACAGAGGCACCGGCTGGGCTCAGTGAACAGACGGACAATGCCAGGTGCTCAGTGAGTGCATGTTGCCTGAACAAAGGAACCACTGAGACCCATGTTCATTTCTCTTCACTCACAGTGCTAGGGACACGGTGCTAGTGCCTGGTATGAGCGTGTGAGGGAGCTAGGCTCCAGTACTGACTGCAATCCTGGGATTAAGGCAGAGTTAGGCACTGGGAGACCGCAGTCTACCCGTGGACAAAAGACCTGCCTTTGTGAAGTTTACAGGAAACCAATGGCAAACAAGCAAACTATATAATAAGTAAGTTAGATAATAGTGGTAACTACTAAAGAAGAAACAGCAGGAGAGAGCAGAGGGAATTATGTGTAGAGTGTAACCTTAGATACGTGGTCAAGGAAGATTTGGCTGAGATGAGAATGAGGTGAAGACTGCTGGCTTGAAAGGGAACCATGCGGCTATATTGGGACTGAGTGTTCCCGACAGAGTACAGGAAGTGGAAAGGAGTGGGCCTGGTATTCCAGGACCATCAAGGAGGTCAGTGTGGCTGGAGCAGAGTGAGAGGGGAGAGCAGTGGAGATGAGGTCAGAGGTAAGAGGATGGTACCAGATTACTAGGTGTGGAACCTAGATTACTGAAAGGACTTCAGCTTTGACTTTGAATGAGATGATTCTGTTTTCAGTCGGGAGCTCTCTGTGTCCCACCAGTTGCTGGTGGAAATGGGCTTCTTGTGATGTCAGGAGAAAAGGAATTTTCTGAGACTTGCACAGGACAATGGGTGGTATTTATTTGCATGGAATTAAATCCCTGAGTTTCCAAGGTCCACTCTCCCTCCGTCCCACCATGGAAGAAGTCCAGAGCGAGGATTAGAACTGTTGCCCAGAGTTTCTGTTCCATATTTGCACAGTCCAGTCTAGCATCAGGCTACCTGAGCTTGTGTTCCCAGCTATAGCCCATTCCATGTGGGGTTTCTAGGGCCACATGGCTATTGAGGGAACATGGGCAAGTGCAAGGAAACTGGAGCAAAGCCAGAGGAACAAGAGAGGGCCAAGAGAGAGCACATTTTTTTTTTTTTTGTCTGAGTAGTTTAACTTCCTCAAATTCCATGTGCTTGCAGTGGCTCCACCCCTTCTAGTCAATTATCTTTCTTCCAGGCTAGACTGACAGGCAAGTATTTTCCCTACCTCACCCCAACTTTACTGCTTGTGTGTTCATCTTTCCTTTGTTGGGCCCCTCCCCCCAGGGATCTGCAGGGCATGGAGCAGGGGTTTCCTGGGGAGTGCAAAGTTGCAGCTTCCTAGTAAAGCTGCCCTGATGGTCATGCTTATAATATCTGGCCCTTCTTTTGCTTCTTTCCTATCTACACTAATAGAAGAGAAACATGCAAATTGGTGTCACTCCACTATACCCACCAGGCAATCAGAGCAACTATGCAAATTAGCCCAACAAAGATGGCTGTTAATTTGCAGCAGAGAAGCCAAGCCTCACTGCGACCACAGCGGACCAAGGGCCTGGGTCCCGGGTGCTGGAGGAAAACCGATGCCGGCAGCCAGGGGAAAGAAGGCCTATTGCGCGAATCTTGGTGCAACGGGCTTCTAGTCAATACTAACAAGCCAATTATAACAGTAACAATACAATGTGTTTTTGCAATACTACCAAGCAATTCTCCAAATTCTCAGTGGATTCTGACTGGGTATTCTACAGTTTAACTCATTTCTGACACTGGCTACCTGAAGGTAACATCAGATCCCAGAGGTTAGGGCAGTGATGGCGAACCTTTTGAGCTCGGCGTGTCAGCATTTTGAAAAACCCTAACTTAACTCTGGTGCCGTGTCACATATAGAAATTTTTTGATATTTGCAACCATAGTAAAACAAAGACTTATATTTTTGATATTTATTTTATATATTTAAATGACATTTAAAAAAGAAAAATCAACCAAAAAAATGAGTCCACATGTCACCTCTGACACTTGTGTCATAGGTTCGCCATCACTGGGTTAGGGGCTCAGTCCCACAGGGCTGCCTTCCTTCTTCTTCTTCAGATGCCAATTGCAAGACCAGGTTGTCATCTATGCTTCTTACCACCAGCTATAAATTGGAAGTTTCCAAAACCCCTTCCACAGGTTTGATTAACGTGCTAGAACAGCTCACATAAATCAGGAAACAAGTTTTCTTACTAGGTTATTTGCTTACTACAAAGAATATTAAAGGATACTTATGAATAGCCAGATGAAGAGACACATAGGACAAGGTCCAGAAGGTTCTCTGGCACAGGAGCTTCTGTCTCCATGGAGTTTGAGGTGTACCAACTTCTTTGTGCATGGATACGTTCTTTTTTTTTAATTTTTCAAAAATATATTTTTATTGATTTCAGAGAGAAAGGGAGAGGGAGAGAGAGAAAGATGAGAAAGATTCATCGATTGGCTGCCTCCTGCACGCCCCCTACTGGAGATTGAACCCACAACCTGGGCATGTGCCCTTGACGGAAATTGAACCTAGAACCCTTCTGTCCACAGGCCAATGCTCTATTTTCTGAGCCAAACTGTTTAGGGCAGTGGTCGGCAAACTGCGGCTCACGAGCCACATGCGGCTCTTTGGCCCCTTGAGTGTGGCTCTTCCACAAAATACCACGTGCGGGCACGCACATACAGTGCGATTGAAACTTCGTGGCCCATGCCCAGAAGTCGGTATTTTGTGGAAGAGCCACACTCAAGGGGCCAAAGAGCCGCATGTGGCTTGTGAGCCGCAGTTTGCTGACCACAGGTTAATGCATAGATATGTTCTTGTTCATCAACCTGTAAGCTCTCTAAGCTCTCTAAACCTCATACATTAGGGATTTTATGGATGCTTCATTATGTAGGCAAGATTGAGTAAATCATTCTCTTTTGGTGATTAATTCATCCTCTACCTCCTTTCTGGTGGGAGTGGGGAGTGGGGTTGAAAGGTCCAACCTTCTAATAGTGGCTGGTTCCTCTGATAATTGCCTCCATCCTTAAGGCCTTTCTAAAAGTCACCTCACTAACAGACTCGGGTGTTGTTGAAAAGAGTTTGTTATGATTGGCAAAAAGCCCCGTTCACCTTTTTCCATGCTGAAGCTATTTAGGAACTGAGGACCAAAGACAAATATTATAACAAAATATGTCCCCATTGCTCTGTTGTTTAGGAAATTACAAGGGTTTTGGGAGCTGTGAGGCACAAAGACCAAAACATCTATTTATTTTAAATCACGCTATCACAGATGGGAGGTCATGAGGGGATTGGAGCAGAGAAATTACATAATCTGACTAATCTTTCCTTTTTTAAAAAAAGCATATGTTTTGATTACTTTTAGAGAGAGAGGAAGGGAGAGAGAAACATTGATTGGTTGCCTCCTATAGGCTCCCTACGAGGGATCAAGCCCGCAACCCAGGCATGTGCCCTGACTGGGAATTGAACTGTGACCTCTCAGGCAGGACTCAGTGCCTGATGCACAGCCACCAGGGTGATGTACTAATTAGAGATGTACTAATCTCTCAGTAGGATTTCTCTGGTTGCTGCTTTGATTATAATGAGGATACGGGCTGAAATGGGGAAACAGGGGATGGAGGGGAGGAAATAATATTTATTGACTCTTTTAGGATCTTGGCTGAACATCCTCCACTACCTATACCCCATAATAAAAGGCAGATTAACAGGAGAAAAACAGAAGTTTAATAACATATATATTTCCTGTATTCATGGAAGATGCCTAGCAAAACTAAGTAATTCCCTGAAATAGCTAAAGCCACCACCTTAAATGCCATTTCCACACCCAATTTAGCACACTTGTTACCTAACCCAAGTTTGTGTGCCTGATGCTTCAAAAACCAAAACTCAGCCCAGCCCAGCTAAAGACAAAAGGTGTTATGGGGGTTGGGGGCTGGGGGGGAGTGGTGGGGGGTGGGGGTGGGGGGAGGCTGGAGGGGATCAATGAGGGAAAAAGGGGGACATATGTAATACCTTCAACAATAAAGAATTATTTACAAAAAAGGAAAATAATCGATCTTATAACTCTAGCCAAAGGCCCAGATTAATGAATTAATGTAAACATAAAAGAAAAATTTCAACACTTTGTTTCAGGGTCTAGCTTTGGCGGTCCCCTGTAGAAT